GCTCATGACGATGAGCTGGGCTGTCACCGCTTGGCCGCCGGTGGGGGGTTTGGGAGGCCGCACCACACACAGACACCCACACACTGCCTCAACTTACACGAACACACACAGACGCAGACACATATACACACGGACATAGATACACGCACAGAAACCCACACACTACCCCAACTCACTCGACTTAACACTTCACACTGCACACTTAACAGATAACTCGCACTCTGACTTCCTACGTGATGAAAAATGCTTTCGGGCCACTCGTCGTCTAGTTTGCAACTGGCACAGCTAGCTAACAGTTAATCTTTTACGTGACCAGTACAGGTGGTAAAAGCTTAGCAAGCTGTTGCCACTGACTGTTGAAAGTAGAGCTAAGGAGAAAAAGGCCGGGCTTGAGGGACCTCTATACAACAAGAGGGCGCAGGACGCGTATGCGGCAAACCAGGAAAAGAAGTGGAAGCGCCAACAAGGCCGGAGGCTTCAGCAACGGCCATCGGACGAGTCGGACCAAGGTGACCGGTCAAGACCTGACCACGTGGCTTTCACTTTGTCAGAGCCACTTGCGCCAGAGTCTTTGCTGGGGCAGGGCCCACCGTTCATATTGGAGGCGGCTGGTCAGGAGGAAGCGTAGGAGCCGGACTTGTTGGACGGGCCTGTGTCTGAGGCTTTTCGGTGCGCAGACCTTGCCAGGGAGCATGCCATTATGAAAGAGCTGGCTGGACACCCCAGATGTTGTTCAGCTGTTGAGATTGCCGGATGGATGCGTGGGCATGCTGATGGAGGTGGCTGCAAGCCACCTCCAGAAGCATTGCTTGATGCTGAAGAAGTCGGACGAGCCCTGGTCGGACATAAAGTTCCAGGTTTGGAAACTCTTTAAGCAGGTCTTGGCTGGTCTTGCCCACATTCAAGCGAAGAAGGTCGCGCACTGCGACCTCAAGACCAACAACATCCTGTTTTTGGACGGCGGTCGGGCTGCCATTGCAGACTTTTGTTTGAGCCGGTCAGTCACTTCTTCTGGGCAGGTCGCCGTTTGTGGTAACAGCGTTTACACAATTGGCTACCGGCCGCTGGAATGCCTAGTAGCTGGTGGAAAAAGGGCCTGGACCCCAGTTCAGTGCAACTAAGCAAAGACTTTCACAAGAAGGAGAGGAAGAATCAGGCTGAAGCATGCAATGCAGTGCAAAGTGTGACGACTTCAAATGACAAACGCGCTTTCAATGCCAACTGAAATCATTTTTTCATGTTATTCTTAGATACTGCTCACTGTTGTTTTCTATGCAGTTGTTTGGGCAAGCTGTTATCTCATCCTTGGCCCTTTTCATTTGGACATAATTCATGCGTTTCAGCTTGGAGCTGGCTGGTCACCTATTCATTGAATGCTTATTTCTTGGTGTTCCCAGCTTCATTACAAAACCTTTTTGTGAAGACAAAAGCTAAGCAGACTGCTTGCCAATAAGAACTCCATGTGTACCAGCCCCATGGCCTTTTTTGGAAGAGAGGAGACTAGACAACCCACATCAGATTGCACCAGCTGTTGATGTATACTCAGGTCAACATCGGGCTAAAAGCGGACAACTGGTCGTTGGCAGGCGTTGCCTGGGATATGTTTGCCTTCACAGCAAATTCACTATGGCCAGACCAAGCTCTGGAGGATGTCTCAGAAGGAGGTTGTACTAAGGAGACACTGTTGCACTTGCGGCGGGTCTTGCAACGCCGGCTGGACGAGCGAAGCTTGGACGGAGATCGCCGTCATTTGCCGGACATTATCAAAGCCTGTGTGCAGGCAGAGTCGGACCGAGCCTGTGTTGCGCTCATCAGTGCAATGTGCCCAAGGTGAGCTTGAAGCAGGACATTTGAGAGAGGAAGGGCCATTGGACAACAGTACTGACTGTGACTGGAGACTGGACGGGCCAAGCGAATCAAGCTGGACTGCAACTTGCTGACAACTCACTCGCAGCTGAGGCCGGACCTTTGAAAGAATGGCGGTATTTGGCAGGTCGAGCCCAAGACTCACAGATTTGACAATATGATGATAAGACTTTTTAATTTTATCCTGTTGGTTGGCCAGGGGGCCAGTCTAAAATTCTAACCCTGTCAGTTGCTCGTGGAAAAAAGCTGCTGCTGCCCTGCTAATGTTCAAGCATTTTGCTTTTTCAACAAAGTAGTCACTGTTCAATGAATGAGTCGCTAGCTGCCAGTACACGCCGACAGTGAGCTTGATTGATTTTGATCTGAGAAGTTAGGTAAGCACTTGTCAATAGTAGACAGGAGTCAATAATCTTAAACCAATAAATTCACTTGATTCAATCAGGTCATCTTCTTGACTCGCTTAACTTAGTGGTGCGAAACCTATTGTTTGACTGTGAGTCTTTGTTGAACAAGTCTGAGCGGTTAGCCTTCCATGTTTGCATGCAGCATGCCAGCAGTATGGATTACTTACCAGTTCTCGCTTTGTGTAACTGTGGAAGTTGCAGGCTACTAGTAGCAGTTGAATTTGACAGTTGGCATGCATTATTGACGAAACCTTGCTTTTGCTTATTTTGAGTCTCCAAGTCTAGTTGCTCGCCTGACTCACCTCCATTGCCGGACCTCCCCCCATGGCCGTTCGCAAGGTGCAGCTGTTCCGTCCTGATGAGACAGTGGAGTTCGTTGAACCTTTACCGGTTGGACCTGGCCGGCTCCACAAGCTTTTTGATGGTTGGTTGACAAAGTTGGTTCCCTCAGAGGTTTCAGGTCTGAAGGGTTTATTGGAAACGCATCAGTGCGAACCGTTTGCCCCATTGATAGCCACTAAGAGGCAACCCTCTACAGAATTTGCGGTATATCTTGATCCCAATAGAGGGTGTCGTGGTTTGACACTGACGACCAGGTTGGATTCTGCGGAATGATTGAGCGTCCTGGCATTTGTTGCGTGCTCCATTAAGCAGTGGTCGTCTTGGTAAACAGAGACTCTATACATGGCAGCATTTTGCACTGTCCTGCATGTCAAAGCAGTGATGCTGCATTCAACCATATTATATAACCTCTTCAACCGAAAACTGCTCCCGAGTCTTGACAGAGTGCTACATATGCTCCAGGCTGATGGGACTTGACGCTTAGTCTTTGCATTCAGGAGAGCACCAGGTCTGGGAATGAGCGCATTTGCTTCGTCGTCGTAACGACTTAAAGGATGGGGAGGCACCACCCGCCAAATTCTTCGGGATTCCTTTGCGATTGAGATACTTTCTGACACATCTTTCCAAGGGCCGTGCGTGCGCTCGCGCGGGCGTGCGGGCATGTGTGCATGTTTGAGTAAACTGTTTGAGTGATGGACCCCTGGTTGAAAATATAGCTGCGTTCGTGAAAATGGCCCCATGTATGCAGGTAGTGCTGCTGCCCTGGCAACACGCGCTTGTCTTTACCAGACTATCACACGTGCCCAGCTTATGGCGTTGGTCGTGAATGAGTACGTGTCGGGTGGGTGGCTGGAGCACTTGGCCCTTTGCAAACTGATGGCAGGCGAGTTTGATGAGTCCGCTGGGCGCATCGAATCTTCCACCGGAGCCGCTGCCCAGGTTGTGAAGGAGATTCAGGCAAAATCTCATCAAGGAAAGTTTGAGGAGGGCAAAGAAGGTGGTCTCTTCAAAGGCACAGCAACTCAAACGCTTAAGACACATGGTGCACCTGCGCAAATTTCAACTGCACCTTTGCCTTCAGCATCTGAAACAGTTGCAGGGAAGAAGGAAATGCAATCTCGTGCAAGTGTGGTTTGGGATACTGGGCACAACAGCATCAAGACTCCCATATATGAGCTAAGCTTTGATCCTTCAAGACGATCTACGGCAGAAGCCTTCGAGATGTTGAGAAAGATCCTTCCCGGAGAGCAGTTGATGGCAGTCCCATCCACCTGCCCATACCCCAAGAAGGATTGCCTCATTTGGCAGTACAATCATCATGACTCAAGTGTTGTTGAACTCATTATTGAGAACACATCATATACGGAGCATGCGTTCTTGTTTTGCCGTGACGGCAGTTGTTTGAGAAGATACAAGAGATATTCGAAAAAAACAGATGCACATCATGATGGCAGTGAGCTTCACATTTTCGACCCAGAAGAGGAGTGGATCGGTTCTGTTGGAGAGGGGCAATTTAAGCTGGAAGGGTGTACCTTGAGTGGGACACTTCGTCAAGCAAAAGGCTTCGCAGAATGGCGTACTTCAGATTTTTGGAGCCAAGGCCGAGATATAGATTTTCATTACACTCGAAAAGAGCTTCTGTCCCACAGACTCAGCAAACGTGAGGCTTATTTGGAAGAGAAGTTTGCTGAACTTTCAGAAAACAAACTGAAGGATCTTGGCATGGACCCACAGCACTTGTGGTTTTGGCAGGCTGACCTATGAGCCCGGCAAAGAGGCTCATACACCGAAGGATTCGTGCATTCCTTTGCTTCACCTTCCATGTGACCTAATTCGGTGCCACTCTCCAAAGGAGAAGGGGAATATACACAAGCTCCTTTACCCCAGGTGCCAGCCGCGAACTAGTCTATATTGAAGGCACTTGGTCCAGTCTTGGATGAACTTTGTTGGTCCAAAAGGTGCGGAAGGAGTTAATGCTCACAGATTCCAGATTGATACAAGATGATACAAGTGATGTGGAGCGATGCCTCTGTGAGCGTGTGAGCTCATGGACAGAGATGCTTTTATAATATATTTACTTTTGTGGGTGCTCAAGCAGCTTTTAGCATTTATCATTTATCATTTGTTTGTCCAGCTAGCAAACATTCAGACATCCAATGGACAAACATTGACAACCTTAGGAGGAAGTCTGACGCCACAAGGGTCCGCGACCCGAGCCAAACACCTCTCAGCAAACCCTGGATTCTCAAGAAGCCTTTGTCCCCCAAGAGGCAGTGAGCCCGAAGGTTCCCGAAGCCGATGGTGCTTTGATGATCCAATCCTTGCCACTTGGAGATTTTGCAGTTGTCATATGGCTGTGAGTTATTAACCCTGGACTCCCTTGTGGACCACCCAAAATCACGAGAAATCAGGTCCAGAGGGAGCCTCCTCGCCTGCGGACTGGTGGTTGCGGCATTATCCTTCTGGTCCCTTCACCATATGGAAAGATACTAAGAGGGTTTGCGCAACTGGAGGGTATGAAATGAAGAATGCAGCTAGGTGGCCGTGGTGATTTGGAGGCTTAGGTTTTGACCCACCCAGCCCATAATATGTTGTGCAACTGACAGGGCAGTTGCAGTTCCACAGAGCTCAGGCTGTGACATCCACGCGACTTGTTCTTACGTCGAAGGCCTCGTTGAAGTCCGGCGGACTTGTCTCAGATAGCTAGCTCCCGTTCATCAACAATTTGTTTGGGTCACAGCCGTTCACAGGTCGGGTCCCATTTGACAGCTGGAATTCCCTGGCACACTGTGCGCAAAGAGCAGCCCGATCAAACAAGAATCACCCAGCACGTTTTTGTTTCATGTGCCCTTTGTACAGTTATGTTTGTAGCGCCTTTCGGGTGTTCAAAAAGTGAGTAATGGTCTGTTCAGGAGACGTGCCCGTGTGCCCGAAAGACACGGTGTGCCCGTCTCGAGTCTCCAGTACAGTACAACACAGAGCGGTCACTTGTATGAAGACTTATGGACGGTTCGCGGCAATGCAGCTGAGCTGCGTGTAGATCCTTGAATACCTAGGTATAGCCTAATAGCATCTAATAGCTATCAATTTGAATTAGCAATGGCCAGGGAACAGTCAAGAGCTAGTGTCAGTGTCAGCTGATAGAATAATTGAACGAAGGGTCGTGATGATAATACCAATGAAACTGGACCAAGGCCAGTTGGGCTTAGACTATCCAGGCTCGACAATTGAGAAGTTCGATCAGTGAGCGTGGCAGGAGAGAGGTGAAGTGCTGGCAGATTTGAACATGTTTGCTGCCCCTTGAAAGGGGGCCGATGGGCCTACTGGCGTCCCGATGTGTCCATGTGATGTATCATCTTCTTGTTCGGATTGGGTCACTGCCAGGCCCCAGAAGTCGGAACGGAGCGGCAATTGACAGTAAGGAGATGCAGCCACTTGTCAGAGCAAACTGATAGAGAGAAGATGAGAGAAGAACGAGGTCAACAATACGCTTTTTGAATATATACCCCCCATGTTTTGCTGCTATGCTTACTTACTGGTTTGGGGAGCACCAGGGCCGCTTTTTGGGATCCGTTCTGACCTTTGTGCTGGATGTTTCATCATCTCAGGCGGCTGCACTGCTGTCGAACTGTAGAAGCAGAGGATTGAGATTTCAGAGCTGGACAAAGAGTTGACCAGATTTTGAGGTATACCCGCCTTGGGGCTCTTCTAGTTTTTGTGCAGCTGTGACATGTTTTTGGCTGCCAGGGTTGATTTGTAAGGAAGGTATATTTACATATACTTGCAGCATCGCTCACAAGCCAAAAATTTGATAGCTTCTGCATAGGAGAAGGGGTGCGACTTTCTCTTCCTATTGGATGACGAAAGTGCCGGGATTTTGCGTGGACCCCAAGTCAAGCTCGGTCTTCAGTCTGTGCAGACAGGGCAGTCTTCCAAGGTGCGAGAGGATGATGGTATTCCCGCCCTAACGTGTTTTTAGTGATAGTGTGTTTGCATTTTTAATGGGATGACTCCAGAAACCGGTATGCGATCAATTCCCGGTGGTAGGAAAAGTCACTCGTTGAGAGCAACTCAAAGGTGTGCACTGTAGGTTGTTCCGCAAAGTGTATGTATATATACATATATGTATAGTGCCAAGAAATCATTCCAGGGGTCTCTTCAGAACAAACTTGCTTGAAGGAAGCCAGCGCGTGATTGAAGCACAGTGAATAAGAGTCATATGTGTTTCTTTAAAAAACATCTTGGACGTCCGGCGCTTGCATTTCCATCCCACATGTGTGCATGTAGCTTTGATGACGCGCCAATTGCACCAGGCCTAGCCAGCTTCCGGCGAAGGACGGCCGAGAATTTGGCATAGTTTCCTTGGTGTTTAAGATCTTCTAGGAATTCGAGCCACGCCACCCAGTCACCCCAGTCTCACAGAGTCTCAGCCCATTTCTTCATGATAATGTGGAGGCATTGGACAGACGACATGTTTCGAATCTTCTGAATCCACTTCAAATATGGGACTATTTCTTGAATTATTCCAGGGGTCCTGTGGGTTCACGGAATAATTTGTTCAGAATAATTTCTAGGAATAATAAACTGCTGGGGGGTAGGTCAAGGGTACCCTTGGAATAATTTTCAACATAATCTATAACTAGAGGTATACATATATTTACAGTGAATTGATGTGAGTTGTCAGAGGAAGGAGCAAGGACGCTACTCGTAACAAAGGGCATCGCTACTAGTAGCAAGAAGCTATAAGAAGCTACTAATTAGGGGTGCTCCTGGCATTACTACTAGTAACACAAAAAGCTACGAACGTGACAAGGGGTCCCAAGACACAAAACCATTGCCGAAAAGCTCGATGACTCAAGCTTGGCCTCTGGCGATGCCGGAATGTCAGAAAGACACTGGAGAGGTTTTTTTGCGCACTTTTCATTGCTACTAAAACAATCTGTCTTAACATGTTTTAACGCTTCAAGAATAATCATGAATACTTTGGCATACTTTCGCTGATGCAGTGATGGCTAACTCAGCTAACTCAGCCTAACCTGTATACAATCTCCATATCCACCAGAAATTATTCCAGGGGTGATTCTGTTCTGGCGGGGCCTGGAATAGTATAATCTGCCCTGTCTGTCCCTGGAAAGAAGAAACCAACCCAAAACATCAAACCTTACCAACTCCTACTGCGGCCTCGCAGGGGGTTCTGTGGCAATGCCTCATCAATTATTGCAGCAACTGAAGCACTCCCAGAAGAATTTTCAGAAAGCCATGTCGAGGGGGGGCAGAATAGTTTCCAAATTATTCCTGGGGGGCTTGAGAGGGGGGGGCTACTAAATAATACCATATCACTTCAATTTTAGCACAGATAGGCGGGAAACATAGGGAAACTAATAAGGGTACGTGTTGATCGTGACCTTACTATACCTTACTATACCTTACTTATTTTGCCTTCGGAATCTACCTGGCGGTTCTATAAAAGATAGGATGACCACAGAAGTACGGTTTCGTGAGTCGTTTTATCCAACGTGCATATTTATATCTGGAGTCGATGCAGGTGTAACTCTGCGTTGCTTGGCGCGTGTTCAGACCCCAATGACCCTTTCACACCTTCCGGCGAGGTGGCAGCGGTAGGTAGACCGTCTACCTGGATGCCATAGGTCCTATATGTTTGCCCACGTCTCTCGCTTTCAAACCTGGCCTTTTCTTGGCCGAAGGATCGAGGAACGCCCTATACCCTCCTGCCACAGCCAATGCTGTCTAGCGTCTGTGGGCTCGCCAGCGTGAGTGCAGTGTCTTGGGTGGCAGGAGGGAGGCTCTGAGCGTGAATGAGGAAGACAGGAGTTCTTTCAATGTCTTTTAATTGGAGCTTAAGTGAGTGAAGAATGGGGAAAGACCCTCCAAATAACTGCAGGTGGCAGGATGCTTGGGCTCATGGGGCATGGCCCTGACCTGTCACGGGTATTTTCCGGTCTCCACCAACCACGATGGAGTCGATAGTTCCTGGGACGCCGCAAAAAGCTGGTGGAAACACTTACTGTGACAGACTCGTGCTTGCAACAGTTGTAGAACGCAATGGTGCACAAAGTGATCAGCAACCTTTGCAGGTGTCAGTGAGTCAGGGGGTCCTTGTGTCGAGGTTGCCACCATCCAACACCTCCCCGCTGGTCGAGCGCCCAGGTTTGCACGCCTTGAGGCGCAGAAGCGATTGCTCCACCACTGGAGGCCACCGAGAAAGGGCGGAGGGGACCGGAGGGGAGGGTGCGAGTCCTGGTCGAGCCGGTCGAGTCCGCTATTAAGAGGTTTATAGGCGGGGACAAAACGGATGGAACGGTGGTAGGTAGCGCCAGTGCAAGCAGGTGTTTTTCTAGGTCCTAGGTCCTAGGCGGCGAGGAATGCGCTGAAACACCTGGAGTCTCAAATAGGCTAGAGAATAGCCACAGACTCTTGGCACAGATCTCCAAGACTAGACATAAGTGAGTCCAACCGATCATTTGGGACTGCCAAGAGTTCGAGAACACCGGCGTTCCTGGGTTGGCTGATCTGAATCACTTGCTCTGACTCAGAGCGTAACTCAGGGTGACCCCAGTTTTGGCCAGTCAACTGTGGCGGCGGTCTGACGAAAGAACTGAAAGGCAATTAACAGGAAAGTATATATATATATAGGCGTGCAAGAGATGAACTCCTTTGCAAGGTCCTGCTCAATCTGGCCCGCTGATGGTCTCCGTATTACATTTGTCTGTGGGTTATTGGATCCAATATGCCTACAACTCCCTGAACAAATCATGGAAGTGGTGAAGTCCCCTTCCATATCAGGGACACGGAGTGTGGTCCTTGCCTTTGTGATTTCACGCGATTCCAGCGGTTGTTGCCCTCTCGAAGGCCTATGGAACATGGCCCTATTGCTCCAAGAAAACAATGGACCAAAGGGGCCGAAGGGGCCGAAGGGACCGAAGGGACCAGTGCCGTTTTCCTTTCTTGGTCTCATTTTCCAGGCAAAAAGACACCTTCAGGCGCAAATCGGCACAAAGGCACCTTCAGCATCCCCTGGCTGTCAAAACCTCAATGTTTGAATAGGTGGGCCGGGTGGATGCGGGCTTGGTCCGGTGGCTTGGTGGGAGAGACCCTTCGGCCCGCACAGGTTGGGCTCGGCCCCAGCTGAAACGGACTGAAACTCCAGGTTTGGACCACGAGGGACGTGCATTTTGGCGCTCGATGCTTGGCGCTCAGTGCCTGGCAGAGCTGCTTGCAGCACTCATTCTCACCGGGTCCGTGCGATGGTCAGAGCAGAGTCTGAAAAGCAGAAGGGGATGAGCCAGGGGTCGAAGCTCAACATGTTTGTCCCAGTTCCACAGATGTTCTGAGGCTCTGTTAACTTTTGGACGCAGGGTTTGTCTTGGATGGCTTTTCGGATTGGGAATCCTCATGCTGTGAACCCCCGGATTGGGTGATTCTCTGTGTTGCTTTCTATTTAAATAACGGATTCTATTTCCGAGCAACCCCAGATGGAGGTTCACACGATTGAACTGGGGGCCGGAGTGACTATATTATAGCGACCTACAAGTACCCTAGGAGCGTCCAGGTTCGGTGCCTGGCCGTTTGAAATTTGGTGTATTTGGACAGATATACATGCGCAAGTACATCCTTTCCAATTTGACTAAAGCAAGTGGACAAGAATCTCAAAGGTTCTGCCAGCGATTGATCCATCACCAGATGACAGTTCTTGTGCCTGCCTTTGGGTTTTGAACATTCAATTTTCTTGTTGGTTCAAAGCTGTGCCCAGTGCCCAGGGGATCCAGTCTGGCACAACCTGCAGAGCCTGCGAGCGCTCAGCACGGTGCCGGTATTGCTTAGCTGGCTGAGGCCGTGCCGCCTGGCATGTGCTGTTGGGTGGCTGGGTCGAAAAGGAAGTGGATCCCTTGAATTTGAAACAAGGATATATATATATATATATATTGTATAAATAAGTAAGGGCAGTAGGGCTATATATTGCAATTATATATATATATGTATTATACATTATATTACTAATGTGAAGGGTTCCCAGCAAACAAATATATGGGGATGGGATCTGTGTGCTTTAAGCAACGGATTCAATTGATAGGGGGGCTTGGCGCAAGACCCGCAGAGGCTGCTCGCCTTGAAGCATGACCTGGTTGCTCGCCTTGCCACAGGCTCATGGGAGGGATGGGACGGTGTGGAATTTCGGTGAGGAATGGTGGAGTCCAGGAGTTTTGTTGATCAGGCAGGCTCCGCTGGGGGGGGCCAAACTGATGGAATGGATGGAGTATTGCAATTTGGTGCCTTCCAGAGTGGTTTGTCCACACACACACACACTGAAGGTGCAGACACTTTTCTTCCTGACAGGTTTGTCAATGCACTGTTGTGCCTGCGCGCAATGAGATGTGTCTTATTGTTTCTTGATATGAACACTATTTGAACCGCAGCATGCCGAGAAGTCGAACCAGATCTTTTTGCCTGTATGGCAAAGGAGGACTGAAAGGAGTGTTTGTCTTCTACACCTTTCCAAGATAACCTACAGTCCAGCCATTCCGAATGAGGCCTTCCCCTTTTTCATCGCCGCCCGTCCGTCCCTGCAAACGCGTGGTTCATCCGGGGGGGATCCGCTCTGGGCTTTGCGCCAGCCCCCCCGAGGGGAATAGCTTCTCCATCACCACCGGCCGATCTGAGATTCTGTGAGTCGGAAGGATGGCCATTGCGAACAAGACCCCATTGATGAAAAAATATCATGAGAATACATTCAACAAAGACCAACCATGAGAGGAACACCTGAAGCCGGGGTGTTGCCTCGATCTGTGAGGTCTCTTTTTCCTGCGTGGTTGTGGTTTGTTTCCATCTGCCTGAAGGATCCGATGTCCCGGTGCCTTTTTCACTGCGTGCCTCTCGCATCCCAGCGCATCTCTTGGCTCGAGCACCGGCGACTGGGAGACCGCCATGCTTGGTGAGGCCGAGAAGAGTGCGTGCGCACAGATCCGTCCCGGTGGAAGGGGGGGACCGAGACATGGCAGCCATGGTGAGGTTTTGGCGCAGCGAGGGGTGAAACAAAAATTGGGTGTTCGATGGGTGTAGCTCAATGGGTGACCTATTGGAAGATGTTCAACATGGGTGAGGCGCTAGAACTTCGACAAGAACTATACATCGATAAACATGGAGAGTTTTGGATGTTGGACCCTTCTGTGTTTGGTGCCATCATCGTTTCCGCTCGCAGGGTTACTCGTTGGCGCGGTGAGCCTTAGTTGTTGTTCTCGGGAAGGAATTCAGAAGAGCCAGACAAAACCTGGGAGCCGCAAGAGGCTTCGCAAACAAACGTATCCTGGGACCCTTCAAGCAGGTGAACATAACGCCACTGCTTGACACAATTGCAACTCATAACCCTGGAGCAGGTGCCGTTGGAGCCTGGCCTTCAGCCAAAGCCTGGCCTTCAGGCATTGATGCTCCAGCGGCTGGACGTGCGGCTGGCGCTGGCACCACAACAGCCGGACGTGCAGCTGGCGCCGTTGTGTTCGTGGGGTGCAGCGGGCCACATGACCGGTGACTGCAATCCCTGCGTATTCTTCTTCTCCAACTATGGCTGCAGCCTGGGCAACAGATGTGGATTTTGTCACCTAATGCATGCCAAAGAAGATGTCGGCAGACCAAAGGTGACAAGACGCAAGAGGACTGGCGCGCCGGAAATTAAAACGCCATGAAACGCCTGTGTGTGTCTTTTTGTAGCAGTTGTAGCTGCAACATGGTAATTGTAAAACACTGAAAACTCTGCTTCTGACGACCAGGATGCCAGAAAGCGGTCGAACTCAAAGGCCTTGCATAGTCCTTCTGGCATGTGGATCATTTGCTTTGATTCGCTTTGCCCCTGCAGGATTCGAGAGCAGGTTTGTGAGGTTCTCGAGTCACACCAGGATCCAATTGATGCACAGGCAGGCCTTCAGCGTTTAGCGCAACAACATCCTTACGTACGTTTGGTGATCAAAGCTTGTTTGAATGAATTGGAGCGACAAGTGGGCCCTGCAAACCTTGCAGGGGTTCTTTTTTCCTTGTAGATCTTCCAGAGGCAAGGGATGAACAGTGATGGCTGGCTGGGAACAAATTGTCCTTTCGAAATGTTGAATGCCTGGGCCAGGAGGCCTTCCTGCATATCTTATCATATCTTCAAGCGATTTAAACTGACTCTGTGCATTGTTGTGCTATACAGCTGAAGTTACCGTTTTTCTCATGGAATCACCGCTTCTAACTTATGACTTATAATAGAATATTTTCCATTTAGGAAGTCCTCCTGTGAAAAAAAGGCACCAGGTTCGATATGTGATCCCTGTGTGCAGCCAATCTGTTTAGCCGGAGTTCTCCCACTGCGATACTCCCACTGTTTCCTGATTTCACACATTCTGATGTTCAAGGCGTGATTTGAAGAGTATGGCAGGATCAATGAGGCCTGGGCAGGCCCACCAGAGGACCAACGGTCGTCTGATCTGTGCCTTGAAGTAGGTCAGCGGTCAGTAGGCAGCGATCTACCTTCCCTACGA